CACCTGTTAGGGTCCCAGCTATGGGCAAATAGTTAACTCCCAAATTGGGGTCAAAACACTATGAAAGTATAAAAATTGATTTTAATAACATCAATTCATTTTTGTAAAAATTATTACCAGCAATGAATTTTTGAAGAAAAAATTATTATCACAATACATTATTACCAGTAATACATTTATGAAAAAAAAAATTACCAGCAATACATTTATGAAGGAAGAAAATACTACCAGCAATGCATTTTTGGAGGTAAAAAATATTATCAGCAATACATTTATGAATGAAAAAAATATTTCCAGCAATATATTTTTGAAGGAAAAAAATATGTCAGGCAATATATTTTTAAAGAAAAAAATTTACCAGCAATACATTTTTGGAGGAAAAATTATTACCATGAATATATTTTTGGAGGAAAAATAAATTATTACCAGCAATATATTTTTGGAGGAAAAAATGATTACCAGCAATATATTTTTGGAGGAAAAAATGATTACCAGCAATATATTTTTGGAGGTAAAAATTATTACCAGCAATATATTTTTGGAGGAAAAAAAAAGATTACCAGCAATATATTTTTAAAGAAAAAAATTTACCAGCAATACATTTTTGGAGGAAAAATTATTACCATGAATATATTTTTGGAAGAAAAATAAATTATTACCAGCAATATATTTTTGGAGGAAAAAATGATTACCAGCAATATATTTTTGGAGGAAAAAATGATTACCAGCAATATATTTTTGGAGGAAAAAATGATTGCCAGCAATATATTTTTAGAGGAAAACATATTACCAGCAATACATTTTTGGAAAAAAAAAATTATTACCAGCAATATATTTTTGGAGGAAAAAATGATTACCAGCAATATATTTTTGGAGGAAAAAATGATTGCCAGCAATATATTTTTAGAGGAAAACATATTACCAGCAATACATTTTTGGAAAAAAAAAATTATTACCAGCAATATATTTTTGGAGGAAAAAAATATTATCTGCAATACATTTTTTGGAGGAAAAAATTATTACCCCTCAATACATTTTTAGAGGGAAAAAATATTACCAGCAATATATTTTTGGAGGAAAATGTTATTACCAGCAATACATTTCTGGAAAAAATATTAACAGCAATACATTTTTGCAGAAAAAAATATTACCAGTAATGAAGGTCTTTTCGGAATTAAATAAGCCTTTGAGGCCGACATGCTGGAAAACAAACCAAACCAAACAAAACAAAAAACCGTCAATAGTTTCCAATCTAATTACTGAGTATTTTTGCGGTGGTCTCTGGACATTAAACGAATTAAGATGCTACCTAGTTGCATCGTAAATTTTTAAAGGTTCTACGGATAAACGTGACGGTTTGTTCCGACGTCAGAATAAATAGTTGCGTAGAAAATTGATATTTGCTCTGCGAAGCTAATTTCGGCGGACAGTAGGGCTGCGAATCCATTCCGACGAAGCTTAGAAGATATCTTGTAACATCTTTAATTCAGGCAACAACTATTACGACACAGCACGATATCTATCTATCTATCTATCTATCTATCTATCTATCTATCTATCTATCTATCTATCTATCAACCTAACTCTCTCAGATTGTGCATAATCTATCTATCTATCTATCTATCTATCTATCTATCTATCTATCTATCTGCCTCTCTCAGATTGTGCATATCTATCTATCTATCTATCTATCTATCTATCTATCTATCTATCTATCTATCTATCTATCTCAGATTATGCATATCTATCTATCTATCTATCTATCTATCTATCTATCTATCTATCTATCTATCTATATCTTTCCGATTGTGCATTATCTATCTATCTATCTATCTATCTATCTATCTATCTATCTATCTATCTATCTATGCATATCTGCATGTGTATGTATATGTGTGTGTGCATATGTTCATGCGTAATTATTGCACACGTGCTCCAATGCACCCTCCTCATGAAGTCTACTCTGCAGGCTGCCCGTAGACCAGGTTCAATTTACCATTTACCTTGGTGTCTACGAATGCAAAAATATTTCTGCTTGCACATCAAAAATAAAGAACCTTACGAAAACAGTGTGCTAAATGTAAATCTAAGATTGCTCATCTCTCTCTCTTTCTCTCCTCTATATATATATATATATATATATATATATATATATATATATATATATATATATATATATATATATATATATATATATCAGTATCAGTATATATATATATATATATATATATATGTATATCAGTCTGTTCGTTTCTATATATCAATATTTTTTCGTTTTATCTATCTATCTATCTATCTATCTATCTATCTATCTCCAGCTATCTATTTTGGGATATAAATAACAACACTGCATGCTGCCTGGTGTTCGCATCACATCAGATCATCAACATGACATTTCTGATGCCTGCTTCTGGCGTTAGGTCGTAATTCTTATAATTCCCCTAAAAGTTTAACACTTTGAACAATACACACGCAACTACACATGGAACGAAAGATCATGTGTGAGAAAAAGATATTGAAATATGCGAAAGTAGTCATGAAGATACTTATGTGATATTGGGTCTGATTGTTGGTGTTTTTTGTACTGGAGCCCATAACGTTTACTGGATTTTAAATCTAGCCCACTCCGAGCTGATCTCTCTGTTTTTATTTATTTACGTTGTATTATATCGTGGGCCACATTGTGCTATTAATATTTTTGAAGATCGGTGAAATTGTATATGAGTACGGTCAAAAGATAGTCGTGATGAAGTGTGAGATCAGTGCACTTTCAATATATTTTCTTCTAAGTAAATTCTTTTTTCTTTTCCGATTTGTTTGGTCGAAATTGTGGTCAGAACTGTTACGTTGAACTACGAACGCATGTCAATGATTGTTCTGGAATAGATCCCTGAAATGCTCTTATGGATTTTAAAAGATTTTGCCGATGTATGTCATTGCGCCTTTTGTGTAGTGTATATATATATATATATATATATATATATATATATATATATATATATATATATATTCATTCATAACAGGTTCGGGGGTTTTGTATATTATTTGAATTGTTTGCGACGATGGATTTCTCGCCAATTAAATCATTAACCTTTGTATTTGTTTTTGTATGAATAATTCATGAATTTGTAATTTGATTGCACCTTTATTGAAATTAAAATAACTGATCCAAGTGGAACTTTTGGATAATAAGTGCGACTTTACTGTAATTATTGAACAATATAGTTCATGCCGCTTTGACAGAAAATTAACCAGTAAAAAAGAATTCGCTTATCACCATATTTGTACAAGAACGCACAACTGTAAAATTTAAAATCAAACTCAGCGTTGCTACTGCACGCTCCAAAAACAATAACTCATTTCTAATAGCATTTTTCGGATACAACAATACATATATTTTCGTTGTCCTCTTATTACTGAGAGAAAAAACAAGAACAACATCTATTCCATACCTGAAGATGTCTGTAGGAACAGACGAAAGCTTGTAGTAAAAATAAGAACTAATGCAACAGAAATTTATAGAAACAAGGATCTTTTCATTCATAACAGGTTCGGGGGTTTTTGTATATTATTTGAATTGTTTGCGACGATGGATTTCTCGCCAATTAAATCATTAACCTTTGTATTTGTTTTTGTATGAATAATTCATGAATATATATATATATATATATATATATATATATATATATATATATATATATATATATATAAATGTAGGTAACTATACTCGTTTCGAAAAACCTTCGAATTTTTGATTTGCCAATAATCAATTCAATCTCGAGGGAAAAAAAGGTTTTAAAAAAAGAAAGAGCTACAAACATGAAAGTCTGTCGAAAAAAATCGCACAAATACAGGTTTAAAGCCTAAAGAAAAAACCCCGATAGTAGTAAACAACTAACAAAAGAACTCAATACAACCGTAGAGCAGACCTAGTCAAACCTAATGAGCCAGACAAACCTGTTTCACCTAAGAGGATCGTCAGGGAATTCCCTGACGATCCGCTTAGGTGAAACCTGGGTAGGTTTGTCTGGCTCACTAGGTTTATCTATCTATCTATCTATCTATCTATCTATATATATATATATATATATATATAGTCACTTATGACAACATGTCTGGCCACATACACAATTCCGGAAAATCCACGTAGAAAGCAGAACTATACTTAAACTAAACATGAAAACAATAAACAAAAGCTGAAAATTCTTGAAGCTATATATATAAAACAATTGAAGACTAACCTGAACAAAATAAACTACGAAATCTGCACAAATATTATTAAATGCTTATAATTTATAACAGAAGCCATTGGTTTATGCCAACGGCTCCCCATATTTAATACTTTTTGTTTTCACTCTCGCGTGGTCATGTGTGACGTCATGAGCTGCGATGCGATTTTCGCTTCCAGCGTCTCGTATGCACGAGTTTGTCGTTGCTTGGAAATCTTCCATGTAAACAAAAGCAGACTTTCATTATTGTTATGTCTGTGTTTTCTTTAATATATTGTAATGTAATTGTCATTTTTGATAATGCCTTATATAAACCGAAAGCTTAGATAGGATTAAAAACATGTATCAATATGGTGATTTTCTTTCGTCTTTTAATGATAATGTCATTAATCTTATCAGACGATATGAAAAGGAATTTACATAAAATAAATAGACAAAACTTGTCTATATTATTTAATGAAATATGCATCAATATATATATATATATATATATATGTGTGTATAACTGGAAATTGATTGATTCGTTTTCTGCGGCTTATCAACTATTTGCAGGTTACTTAAAGCCAGGAAATATTTTTAGATTTTAAGAATTTTGGCTTAGTGATACAAGTCCTACTATTTAACCCATAGCTGGGGGGAGGACAAGTGGATTCATATCTTCCCAAAGGTATTTGCGCATAAGTGAATCAGACAAACCCAACGGGAATTGGAACTCGGCTCTCCGATTAACAATTCAGAGCCATTATCCATTACACCACCTTCACAGGCAAGCTTACAGCACCTGTTATTCCTACGCGGTCACTCATCTAGGTAGTGACCAAGCACAACATTGCTTAACTTCGGAGATTGTACGGGAATCGGTGTTTCAACGTGACGTGGCCGTGCACCTGTGTAACTGAAAAGAAATTATTGTTGCCGTTGAGTGTAATGGAATCTAGTCTAGTCTAGCAAGATTAAAGAAGGCGTTTTTTTATTACTAATATTGATCTTCCTTCTCGTTAGACTACATGCCATTATGACATGTGGGTGTGGTAGAAAATTTTAACTTTCAAGTTTAATTTAATTAAATGATTGTTCCTCTAGTTATAGTCATATGGTAACACCTAATAGTCATTAGAGTTCTTTCCCTGATGGTGATTTTTAAAGCGTAGCTTAGATGTGGCACAAAGCCGATAATATCGGTCACCCAGTCCTAATTGTTCTTGCGAGACATGCTTGTTAACCATTACACCAAGTAAAGGTGCCCAAATGATTTTCTAAGCTTTGCGCAAATGTGGCTCAAGGCCGATATTATGGGTCACCCAGTGAGGATCGAATTCGCTATTTAGTCGTAATGGTTCTAGCGAGACATGCTTAACCATTACACGAAGTCAAGGTGCCCAACTGATTTTCTAAGCTTTGCTCAAATGTGGCTCAAGGCCGATATTATGGGTCACCCATTAAGGATCGAATTCGCTATTTAGTCATGATTATTCTAGCGAGACATACTTGTTAACCATTACACCAAATCGATGTGACCAAATGATTTTCTACGCTTTGCTCAGATGTGGCACAGGGCCAACTATATGGAACACCCAGTGAGGATCGAACTCACTACTCTTAATTGCTCTAGTGAGACACGCTTGCTAACCATTACACCAAATCGATTTGACAAAATGGCTTATTAAGCTTTGCTCAGTTGTGGCACAAGGCCGATAGTATAGGGCACCCAGAGAGGATTGCACTCACTCTCAGTCGGAATTGTTCTAGCGAGACGCGCTTGTTAACCATTACACTAAGTCAAGGTGCCCAAATGATTTTCTAAGCTTTGATCAGATGTGACACAAGGCCGATAGTTTGGGGTACCCAATGAGGATCGAATTCGCTACACAGTCGTAATTGTTCTAGTGAGACACGCTTGGTAACCATTACGCCAAATCGATGTGATCAAATGATTTTCTACGCTTTGTTCAGATGTGGCACAGGCCCAACAATTTGGAACACACCCAGTGAGGATCGAACTTACTAATCTGTCGTAATTGTTCTAGTGAGACACGCTTGCTAACCATTAAACCAAGTCTATGTGACCAAATCATTTTCTAAGCTTTTCTCGGGTGTGGCACAAGGCCTACTGTATAGGGCTCTCAGTGAGGATTGAAGTTTGCTAACTGAAGTGTCCTTTTCTTTCACGGATGATTGGATGAAGTCAGTTGTATGTGAAGTAGGTAGACATGACAAACCTTGTTAAACGCCTTCGAGATATATAAAGCCACAGCACAAGCGTCGCTGTTCTTATCTAAAGCTTGATAAATAAATTCAGTGACAGATATTAATCTCGGCCTAGAGGAGCGAAAGCCATCTTATTTATCTGAAGGAAGGCTAGGCGAAGTGAGGTGCTTAACAATTCGGAGTTGATTATAGCCTTTCCAAAACGCGCTAAAAATGGAATAGGGCAAAAATTCGAGGCATCAGATGATTCGCCAGAGTCCTTAAAGACAGGATCTACAGAAGGCCACTTCTGGAAAGCAAGAAGCAGAAAGACGTTTGTTGTAGTCTTTAGAGAGAACAAGAGCCAGTTCATCTAAAATTACACATTGCTTTACAACCATCAGTATATTAAATGCCGACACGAGAAAACAAATGATTTTTTTCTCTAAAAGATTCTTGCTATACATGGAATTACAAACATCAAAGCAAACCTTAACTGTTCAATGTTCGTGAAAAGAGATGGTGCATTCTGCAAGACAATACTCCAGATTTGGCCTATCTATATTGATACTATATATAGTTGATAATCTCCCCCCGTCACACATTGTCTACCTGTAACTTTGTATCAGTTATGTGCCATGCGTGATACACTCTTAGGCGATCATGTATCGTTCTGGCAGGGCAGATTTTTTTTCCTGCAGTAGGTTGCCATTTCTTTCTACGGAAAACCAGTTGCCATCCAAGACTATAGAATCCGGTCTGTTCTGCTATTTACGCATAGCTGGGAAGTAGAATAGTATTCATACCTTTCCCAAGGCGATTAGCATGTCAGTCAGAGAACTATGTGCCATCCGTGATACATGCTTAGGCGATCATGTATCATTCGATACATGAGTAACGAGGCAGATGTTTTGCCGCAATAGGTTGCCATTTCTTTCTGCAGTAGACCAGTTACCATCTAAGGCTATAGAACCCGGTCTGTCCTGCTATTTACCCAGAGCTGGAGGGAGATGAAGGGAATTCATACTTTTCCCCAGGGTATTAGCACGTCAGTTAGCTATGTGGCATGCGTGATACACGCTTAGGCGATCATTATCTTTCGACACATGACTGACGAGGCAGATTTTTCCCAAAGTAGGTTGCCATTTCTTTCTGCAGTAGACCAGTTGCCATCCAAGGCTATAGAACCCGGTCTGTCCTGCTATTTACCAATAGCTGGGGAGGAGAAGAAAAGGATTCATACCTTTCGCAAGTGAATGTAGTGGATTCGACTGGAATTCGAACTCTCAACCCGAGCCGCTATCCATTACTCCACCGCACCTAACTTTGTATGCAATGTACAGAGTGAGGCAAAAGTTGCGCACCAGGAATGGGGAGGGGGGTAATGGATAGGTCGAAGAGGTTCTGTTGAGTGGCGAACGAGGTCAGCAGGCCTCAAACGTTTGGATTTTTTTTCTTTGGGGCAATTTGAAATCATCTGTTTATCAGACGCATTCAAGAAATATTGAAGAACTTGAAGAAAGAATTAAATATGAATGCAATTAAATGACAGAGGAAACTCTGCGACGTGTTAATGAATCCTGCAGGCACAGAATTGAAATGTGTTTTGAAAGAGGGGGACATTTTGAAAAAAGGGGGACATTTTGAAAAAAGGGGATATTTGGAAAAAGGGGCATTTTGAAAAAGGGGGACATTTTGAAGAAAGGGGACATTTTCTAAAAAGGGTGACATTTTGAAGAAGGGGTCATTTTGAAAAAGGAGGACATTTTGAAAAAAAGGGGCATTTTGAAAAAGGGGGACATTTTGAAGAAAGGGGACATTTTGAAAAAGGGGGACATTTTGAAGAAGGGGTCATTTTGAAAAAGGAGGACATTTTGAAAAAAGGGGACATTTTGAAAAAAGGGGACATTTTGGAAAAAGGGGGACATTTTGAAAAGAGGGGACATTTTGAAAAAAGGGGACATTTTGAAAAAAGGGGGACATTTTGAATAGCACATATGACAAATATTTAGTAAATAAAATTTTCCTGTATAATTATGGTTTTAATAAATTATCCCGAAGGAGCTCGATTTTTGACATACTCTTAATTCCCATACATCTGTGTTTTGCTGTATTATTTTGCATATGCTTCAACTAATTAATCTCCACCCACGCACACGCATGCACACACAAGATTTGGCTGAATTGGAAATGAGATTTCAGAATAATATATTTGCTTTCAGCTCAGTCTTGCCGACACTTGAGCTGAACAATAAAACTGGTGATTAGAGGATTTCTAGGATGAGGAGCTATCATTATTGACACTCTTTATATTCGGACAATGGCCAAATGGATGAAAGCGTCGATTTGTGAATTTGGTGGTAAAGTGGTTGTGAGTTCAATCCCTGGGTTGGGCAGTGTGTACTTCCACTCAGTGGAAACGGAAAACAACAGAACAGTAGTAAATAAATTAAGGGATATCCCTAGACATGAGCAAGTGAAACGAGAACTGTCTACCCACGTTGATTAAATAATGGATCCGGTTCAGAACTTCCAGTTGGTTATCCAGATATCGACCTCACGAAAGTCGGAGGGTACAACAGCCGAAATGTTGTGATAACAACGAAAATGGCGACAATGCTTTAAAGAGAGAAAAGTTCTTTTTTTTTTCAAGCATAAAAATCAGAAGATTATAAAATTTTATTGATCTTTTTGGAAATTATTCTGTAATATATTATTTGAAAAGAATATTCTGGAAATATTTTTACGTCTGACATTAAAATAAAATATAGACACACATACAAAACCCAGTTTGAATGATAATGAATATGAACATCTGTTTTGTGAGTGATAATATTCCTTTCATTCATGTAACAACCACTAGCTTACAAGAAAAATGTATAATCTGGTATGTGCAACTCTTTGAAGTCATTTTGATGACTCCATTTTGTTCTTTTAACTGAGTATATTTTCTAATAGATATAGTCTTAATGGTCAAGCCATTTAGATTCGAAATTTGATCTTCTTGCCTTTCAGCAGATCAACATATACCGAAGTAACGCTTAATAAAAAACATTCCGATGCCATTTCTTCCGTGAGAGATGTTTGGGGTCTGTAAAAGCCTCCAAAACTACGTCCCTAAGTGTGTCAACCAAATAAGGCAAAAATGTTTTCTCTAAAACATTAACAGCTAAAAGCATCTTAAGACAACAGTGAAATGCTATTCATCATTGTATAGCAAAAGAAGTAAATCCTAATTCACTGAAAGGTCGTTAGCGTTTTTCAGTTCGTTTCATTAGATATAATCTGGATATGAAACGTGTCAGGACACAAGCTACTTTGTGAAAATAATTTTGTTAGAAACTGTTTGCAATTTACTTACAGAAAGCAAGTAAACAAGAAGAGTAATTGGCTGACGGAATCATTAGCCTTCGTATTACAAAGTGACAAAACATAATGTTTATAAGAAGAAGGAGTGGGAGGAGGAAAAGGAGGGGGAGGGAGAGAATGAGAAAGAAGAAGAAGAAGAAGGAGTGGAAGGAGGAAAAGGGAGGAGGAGGAGAATGAAAAAGAAGAAGAAGGAGTGGGAGGAGGAAAAGGAGGGGTAGGAGGAGAATGAAAAAGAAGAAGATATTGTTGAATGAAGAAGCGGAGAAGGAGGTAATATCGAGGAAAGAAGAAGAAAAAAAAAGAAGAAAACAGAAGTAAATAAAGA